CTACCGGGCAGCAGCAACGTCCCGCTGGGCTAAGACCCCGGGGCCGGCCCAGGACTACTCTGCTGCTGCTGCTGCTGGCGGTGTCGCTCGGCTGGCCTGGGAACGCCTGGGAATTCCCGAGGAAGAGTTCGAGTCTGTGTATAGTAGTGCAGTGTATAGTAGTTTATAGTGTAATAGTGTATAGTAGTTTATAGTGTAGTAGTGTATAGTAGTTTATAGTGTAGTAGTGTATAGTAGTTTATAGTGTAGTAGTGTATAGTAGTTTATAGTGTAGTAGTGTATAGTAGTTTATAGTGTATATTAGTTTATAGTTTAGTAGTGTATAGTAGTCTATAGTAATGTACAGCAGTTTATAGTGTACAGTAGTTCATATTGTAGTAAGTGAATAGTAGTGTAGTGTATAGTAGTTCATAGTGTAGTAGTGTATAGTGTAGTAGTGTATAGTAGTTCATAGTGTAGTAGTTTATAGTGTAGTAGTGTATAGTAGTTCATAGTGTAGTAGTTTATAGTGTAGTAGTGCATAGTAGTTTATAGTGTACAGTAGTTCATATTGTAGTAAGTGAATAGTAGTGTATAGTAGTTTACGTGACTTTACGAAAGACCCAAGAATATAGTGTATAGTAATTTATAGTGTAGGAGTGTATAGTAGTTTATAGTGTAGGAGTGTATAGTGTAGTAGTGTGTAGTAATGTAGTGTAGAGGAGTGTATAGTGTATAGTAATGTAGTGGAGGAGTATATAGTGTAGTAGTGTATAGTAATGTAGTGTAGAGGAGTGTATAGTGTAGTAGTGTATAGTGTAGTAGTGTATAGTAATGTAGTGTAGTAGTGTATAGTAATGTAGTGTAGAGGAGTGTATAGTGTAGTAGTGTATAGTAATGTAGTGTAGAGGAGTGTATAGTGTAGTAGTGTGTAGTAATGTAGTGTAGTAGTGTATAGTGTAGTAGTGTATAGTAATGTAGTGTAGAGAAGTGTATAGTGTAGTAGTGTGTAGTAATGTAGTGTAGAGGAGTGTATAGTGTAGTAGTGTGTAGTAATGTAGTGTATAGTAATGTAGTGTAGAGGGTCGTATAGTGTAGTAGTGTGTAGAAATGTAGTGTATAGTGTAGTAGTGTATAGTAATGTAGTGCAGAGTAGTGTATAGTGTAGTAGTGTATAGTAATGTAGTGTAGAGGAGTGTATAGTGTAGTAGTGTATAGTAATGTAGTGTAGAGGAGTGTATAGTGTAGTAGTGTGTAGTAATGTAGTGTAGTAGTGTGTAGTGTAGTAGTGTAGTGTAGTAGTGTATAGTGTAGTAGTGTATAGTGTAGTAGTGTATAGTAATGTAGTGCTGTCGCCAGGGAGAGGGAGGTGTGGACCGCCACTACTCAACACGCTGTCGCCGCGACCCTCACCAGGACAAGCGGACTGAGAAACAAACGAATTGTACAGGCGTCGAGGTGATATTCACACCTGAACACAGATACAAGTGAACACGTGGTCACGTGTGCAGGTGATGACGCCCATACAAGTGAATACACCCGGACCACGTGCACCGCTGCAGACGAACAGGGTTGCAAGCCATGTTGATAAATTGGGTAATTATTACAGCAATTACTCCCAAGGGATTATTGCATTGCTCTATAACGCCGCTTGTTAATTGCCCCGTGGCGTCGTCAGCGTCGCCAATTTAGGCCACTGCGTTCCACGGCGTAAAATGCACGGATGGGAACGTTTCTATTTTCAAAATTAAAATCGCAAGGGACACAACAAACGGGCCTCTCCGCTCACCCTCTCAACCCCGTGTCGTTGGGGCAAAGGGTGCTGCTGCACATAATAGCGAGCGCCTATCCGGCAAGGTCGGCCCGCGCGCCTTTGTCTCCCCCAAGTGCCGACGTTTTACGCACGGCGCGGGGAGGGCCCTGGGACCGCTCGTCACAACTTGACGGATGGCCATGTCGCCGGATTCCTAGCTCAGTGCGCTAACTATTGCGTCACTACTCCCCCCCCCCCCCCCGCCCCCCCCCAAATGTAAAACTCTCACACATCAAAGTACCCCGAGAGCAAGGACGGCAGGAAACCAGGTCTCTCTTCCCCCTTGCCAGAGGACACGGGAATCTGTTGACCGTCACCTGGATTGGGATTTACACGGACGATGAAAGCCGGCAGGGCGCATGACAAAGGGTTGGTGGGCGAGACGGGATCCAGCCACACCTGGTCTGTCTATCAGCCAGCAACATCTGTTTTGTCCTCTCACCACCTTTCGTCACCATACCTCTGACGGCACACGTAGTCCATCTTACTTGCACATCTGTGTGTGTGTGTGAGTGTGACCGCACACACGTAAGACCGTAACTCTGGACAACAGAAAATCTGACGACTCCTATTTGCTCATTCATTGTCTAAGAACCCAAACAGCTGCATGCCCACACACACACACACTTTTATATTCATGATGACACCCGTTTGTCTCTGAACCCATCTGACGGCACACGTGTCTGCTGCTGCTGCACCTGTGACTGACCGCACATCTGTGTGACCACAACACACTCGTGGAAAACGACCAAACCAACCCCAACCACGGACAACATTCCATCCACATCCGCCCGCACGCCTCCCAAGTTCCTCAATCTTTGAGGTTACATTTCCCTAACAAGGGCACCTCCGATTCGCGCGGTTGGCCACGTACGGTGCGAAAGAAGTTCAACATACAATAACATAAAGCGCCTCGATTCTCTCGGTGTGTACCTACACACATCTTGGGGGGAATTGAGAGGGATGGAGAGATGGGGGGGGGGGGGGGGGGGGGGGGGGGTGCATGGTAGGGGCGGGGGCTGGTAGGGATGGGGGGGGGGGGGCTGGTAGGGATGGGGGGGGCTGGTAGGGATGGGGGGGGCTGGTAGGGAAGGGGGGGCTGGTAGGGATGGGGGGGGCTGGTAGGGATGGGGGGCCTGGTAGGGATAGGGGGGCTGGTAGGGATGGGGGGGGCTGGTAGGGGGGCTGGAAGGGATGGGGGGCTGGTAGGGATGGGGGGAGGGCTGGTAGGGATGGGGGGGGCTGGTAGGGATGGGGGGCTGGTAGGGGGGCTGGTAGGGATGGGGGGGGGGCTGGTAGGGATGGGGGGCTGGTAGGGGGGCTGGAAGGGGTGGTGGGGGGCCTGGTAGGGATGGGAGGGGGGCTACCTACGAGGGAGGACCCCGAGTGAAAGACTTATTAAGCTGTTGGACACAAATCTGCGAGCGCCTTGAGATGAACCCGAGAGAAAGAGAAAGAGAGAGATAGTCGAGGTGCATTGGGTGTAGTTAATATTCTAAGATTACGGCATGGATGAGCGTTGTTATGAAGGGTGTATTATTGTATTGTTAGTGTAGGGTGCGGTTCAGGATGTTTTAGTCCACCCGCACGGTGTGCCTCGGGGTGCTGTAGCGTGTGGGGCTGTACAAGTTGGGGTGTACAGTAGTTTTGTTTGCGAAGATCACAGTTGCAGTTCAGGGTGTAGTCCGCACTGTTGTAGACGAGAGTGTTGTAGCTCGCAGGGTGTACATTCGGGGTGTAGTTCAGTGTGCTGTAGTTCAGGGTGTACATTCGGGGTGTAGTTCAGTGTGCTGTAGTTCAGGGTGTACATTCGGGGTGTAGATCAGTGTGCTGTAGTTCAGGGTGTACATTCGGGGTGTAGATCAGTGTGCTGTAGTTCAGGGTGTACATTCGGGGTGTAGATCAGTGTGCTGTAGTTCAGGGTGTACATTCGGGGTGTAGTTCAGTGTGCTGTAGTTCAGGGTGTACATTCGGGGTGTAGATCAGTGTGGTGTAGTTCAGGGTGTACATTCGGGGGTGTAGATCACTGTGGTGTAGTTCAGGGTGTACATTCGGGGGTGTAGATCAGTGTGGTGTAGTTCAAGGTGTGATTCTCGGTGTAGATCAGTGTGCTGTAGTTCAGGTTGTGATTCTCGGTGTAGATCAGTGTGGTGTAGTTCAGGGTGTACATTCGGGGTGTAGATCAGTGTGCTGTAGTTCAGGGTGTACATTCGGGGTGTAGATCAGTGTGCTGTAGTTCAGGGTGTACATTCGGGGTGTAGATCAGTGTGCTGTAGTTCAGGGTGTACATTTGGGGTGTAGTTCAGTGTGGTGTAGTTCAGGGTGTACATTCGGGGGTGTAGTTCAGTGTGCTGTAGTTCAGGGTGTACATTCGGGGTGTAGTTCAGTGTGCTGTAGTTCAGGGTGTACATTCGGGGTGTAGATCAGTGTGGTGTAGTTCAGGGTGTACATTCGGGGGTGTAGATCAGTGTGCTGTAGTTCAGGGTGTACATTCGGGGTGTAGATCAGTGTGGTGTAGTTCAGGGTGTACATTCGGGGTGGAGATCAGTGTGCTGTAGTTCAGGGTGTACATTCGGGGTGTAGATCAGTGTGTTGTAGCTCACAGGGTGTACATGCGGGGTGTAGATCAGTGTGCTGTAGTTCAGGGTGTACATTCGGGGTGTAGATCAGTGTGTTGTAGCTCACAGGGTGTACATTCGGGGGTGTAGTTCAGTGTGCTGTAGTTCAGGGTGTGATTCTCGGTGTAGTTCCTATTGTTGGCGGCTCAACGGTGTACTGTAATTGTCGGTGTGTGTACACTCACTTCAGAATGTTGTACAGTAGTTCGGGGGTGCGACTCAAAAGAGATTGGCGGTTGAGGTCTTGTAGCTCGGTGTGCTGATGTAGTTCAGGGTGTAGTTTGTGTTGCTGTTGTACAACGAGGGTTGTGTACACACGGTGCGGGGTGTGTGTGTGTGGGGGGTGTGTGTGTGTGGGGGGTGTGTGTGTGTGTGGGGTGTGTGTGTGTGTGGGGTGTGTGTGTGGGGGGGTGTGTGTGTGGGGGGGGTATGTGTGTGGGGGGGTGTGTGTGTGGGGGGGTGTGTGTGTGGGGTGTGTGTGTGTGGGGTGGGTGTGTGTGTGTGGGGGGTGTGTGTGTGTGGGGGGTGTGTGTGTGTGTGGGGTGTGTGTGTGTGGGGTGTGTGTGGGGTGTGTGGGGTGTGTCTCTCACCTTGTAGGCGTTCTCCGTCAGGCGGTTCACCTCCTCGTCCGGCCGCGCCATGCCGGGTGAGACACCGGGGTACAGAGACAGACTCGGGACTCGGGACAGGCGGCGGCGGTGGTGGTGGTGGTGGAGTTACTCCCGGAGACGAGAGACGGTGGGTGGCAGACTTAAGAGCACACAAACACACGCAATACACGCACGCGTGCGCAGACACAGCCGACAAGACCAGCGGCTAACCGAGGAGAGAGACACACACACAACACACACAGAGGAGGCAAGGACACGGGACAAATTAAACTATGAGACAGAGAGAGAGAGAGAGAATCGTCGAGGCGTAGCTCGTCCCCCCCCACCCCCGACCACAGAGCACGAATCCCACCACTCCCCACTGCCGCGAGCCACAGCAGCGACTGGCACCGGGCGACTTGACGCCCTCCCCCTTTTATAGACATCGGAGGCTCGGAGGTGCGGGGGGAGGAGTTTGGTGTAGATAGGGGGCGGGGAATTATATTAAAAGTAAGAGGGGTTTGGTTAAGAGAGGAGGAGCTTAGTTGAGAAGGGGGGGGGGGGGTGAGACGGGGGGTGGGGGCTTAGTTAAGACGGAGGGGGTTGCTTAGTTAAGACGGGGGGCTTAGTTAAGACGGGGGGAGGGGCTTAGTTAAGACGGGGGGAGGGGCTTAGTTAAGACGGGGGGGTTAGTTAAGACGGGGGGGGGGGGCTTAGTTAAGACGGGGGGAGGGGATTGGTTAAGACGGGGGGGAGAGGCTGAGTTAAGACGGGAGGTTAGTTAAGACGGGGGGGGGCTAGTAAAGACCGGGGGGGGGGGGTTAGTTAAGACGGGGGGAGGGGATTGGTTAAGACGAGGGGGGGGCTCAGTTAAGACGGGGGGGCTTAGTTGAGACGGGGGGGGGTAAAGCATTATTTTTATTCAACCAGTGAAGCCCACTGAACTATTAACATGTTTTCCAGAAGCGACCTGGCTAGCACAACAAAGTGGCTTATCACGTGGACATTTATAGCAGCAACATAATCGAAATAATCTAAGACGGGGGGGGGGGTAGACTTAGTTAAGACGTGGGAGACTTAAATATCACGTGTGGAGGCTACAGTATATGATGGATGTGATGCCGCGTGTGTATGAATGTTCATATGAGACTGGTTATTTGGTTATTTGATGATGCTGCTGCTGCTGTGTTGGCAGTGGTTCTTAATCGCAATCAATAAATATCACAGGCGACGTTTCGGAAATTTACCCTTCTTCAGAACACACCACCAGGGGCGCGGTATGTGTTTCAGTGGGAGTGGCTGAGACAGATATCATTACTGAACTTCACATTTGTAATAAAGCCTCACTAAGTCTCAGGATTATGTTTCAAGAGGGTCCTGCCAAGTCTTCACAGTTCGGCGGTAATGTTGCTGCAGCTGCTGCTGTGTAAATCCCAATCAAGGCGGTCATTGCAGACAGTTACATTGTTGTGTGGTGGTGGTTGTTGTTGTTGTTGTTTTAATCTTTGGAAGGAAATTGCAGAACCCGGAGGAAACCCATGCAGAACAGGGAGGGAGGATATACAAACTCCAAACAAAAAGGCGCGCTGGTCGGGAATCGAACCCAGGAACTTCTTGCTGCCAGGCACACGCATTTAGAGGTATTTTTTAATTTAAAAGGGTTAACTTAAGTTGAATGATAAATTGTCCTATGATCAATCTAAATAATAATCTGCCAAAGCCTTGCAAATCATGGTCTTGTGAGTTATATCGCCTGTATTTAATCAACTCGTAACTTTGAAACGTAACAACAAACAACGCTAAAACTAAATTGGTCAACAACCCGGTGGCCTTTTAAAGGAAACTAAAAAAATATCCGACGTTTCGATCAATGGCTGCCAATTCAGCAGTATCACACAAAATAACGTGACATTTTCAACCTCATACGATACGAGCGTGGATCGTAAGGGGCCGTCCATAAATGACGTCACGCACCTAGGGGGGGGGGGGGTCAGACATTTGTGACGATGTCACAAAGATTTGATAAATTATTTCAGGTCTTAATTGATTGTTCACGCTTACAGTGGCTTTCAGACAGCATACATTAAATTTTTCGTCTCCCCCCTCCTCTTTTCAGAACATTGATGGACTAGTCCTTCTAAATAAACTGCCAAATCGCTGCGCGTGGCGCTAACATTTTTTATAAATAAATAAATACACCGTTTAAAAATAAATACATTTATGCAATCCGACACACCTGATGACGACCGTTTGTGTTATGGTCGAAACGTCGTGAGAATTTTTATTGTTTTATATATTGTATTATTTTATTGTTTCCCTTCAACGTGACTTTACCGAAAGAACTAAAAATATGAATTACTGCAGTCACGAAAGCTTTAAATCGATTTGAAGCATGGTTTATTTTTTGGGGGGTCGGGGGCGGGCAGAGCTTTGTGACGTCATATTTGAGAGGGGGTCTCACTTTTTGCGAAGCTGTGTGACGAGGGGGGGGGGGGGTAAAAAATCGTCCAAAATCTCGTGACGTCATTTATGGACGGCCTCTAACCTATGGGTCGGCCCTCTCGAGGGGCTTTAGCCGCTGAGCTCTGAGGAAAGAGGGTGGCAGAGGGAGCAGGGGGATAGGGGAGGGAAGAGGGGGCTGGTGTGGGAGGGCAAAGGAGCGACGCTCACAACAACTAACAGAGCGCCGGGCGGATAAAACGCAGAACTTTGGCGTAGTGGGGGAACGCAGGTGGTGGTGCGTCCGCCAGCCATCGCGGTCGGTCAGCCCATGGCACCCGCTAGGTCTGTTCCTTGACCTCCTGCCGCCAGCGAGCCTTCGCCACTTCACGTGGCCTCGAAGTGCACCTAGCCTGGCACATGCGCCGTGGTGACGTCACCGCCACTTCGTGGTGAACGGCGGTTGATGTTGTTGTAGCTTGGCAGGGCAGAAGAGTGAGTGAAAGGTCCATAGTTTGTAAAAAAAAAACACTCAACGCGTTCGTCCATAATAAGGCGACGTTTCGGGTAAATGGCCCTTCTTCACAGCACCCAGAGAGGTGTGCTGTGAACAAGGGTCATTGCCCAAAACGTCGCCTTTCATCGTCGAAGTTTTCCTTTTACGGCCACAAGTTCTTTTTTTTTAATCGAATTGTTCATTGTGCACCAATGACAACGCAGTTACAGCAGCATCGCCAGATAATTCGTTTAATATCTAGGGCAGTGGATCTTAAACCTTGTGGTTCTTAAACCTTTTACTGCAACCCTCTGGTTCTCAATCGTAAAAAAAATAATACGCATAATATCAATGAATACATAGGCGTTTGATGAAAGAAAGTAATGATTTACCTTCCAACAACAATAAATCTGGCCCTATCTCTCACTTCCCGTCAGGTTAAAGAAACCACCGCTCAGTTTAACATAGATGTGTTGTACAACAACAACCGCGCAGAGGCGTGGTCAACACATCCATGCCTCTATTTAAGGAAAGAAACAGGTGGACTTCTCCACAAATCTGGCTGTCGCCTGATAAAGCTAGTTGTAATTACTGGCGAAACGTCGTACTCAGATTGTAAATGTTGTGGCTTGGCTCTCCAACACACCGGTTAGTGCTGTGCTAGTGACGAATTGGCCACGTTCTGTTTACGTGACAACCCTTACTAGTTGGCTGTGTCGGGTGGTGGCGGGTTTAATGACACATTTATACATTTACGCGATCTAACCCAAAAACCACCGCTGTTGACAATCGAGGTGAGTGGCGTGAGGGGAGGGGCGAGGCCGGGGTAGGGGGCGGTGCCTCGGCATGAGGGGGAGGGGCCACCGCTCTCCCCCCCAACCCCTCTCTGACGTCACCGACACACCTGGGCACGTCCCGTCGCTATGGAGACGGAGTGTGTGCGTTTACGTGTTGATGCATTGTGTGTGTATGTGTTTAAATGAATTGTGTGTGTGTTTAAATGCATTTTGTGTGTGTGTTTAAATGCATTGTGTGTGTGTTTAAACGCATTGTGTGTGTGGTCTGGCACAAGCGTCGTGGTGACGTCACCGTCACTTAGTGGCGAATGGCGGTTGTTGTTGTGTGTGTGTGTTTAAATGTAATGTGTGTGTGTGTGTTTAATGGAGTGTGTGTGTGTGTTGTCTATGTGTGGGGAACGGTGGTGTAGCGGTTAGCGCGCTGCGCTACGAACCTGGTGACCCGAGTTCGATTCCAGCTCACGGCCACCAACACCAGTGACGATTATCTGAACCGGTCCTTGGGCCTCCCCCTAGGTAGACTCGGCCTCAAATGGGTACCTGGTTCGGTGGGTAGTGAACATCCATACGGGAGACAAAGGCGGCCGGGCGTGGTGCTCGCCACCCACCCCTTCGTGAGCCACAGTGTCAGTGGCCTTCATAGGTGCTGCTACTCGCTAACAGCACTTGCCCCAACAGTCTGTGCAGGCTATACGGGGGATCTTTGTCTTTGTATCTTTGTCGGGTAGTGTTGGGGTACTGAATGTTGGCCTTGACAGAATGTTTGGGCAAATGCTGTTAGCGACCCACGAAGGCCATTAGTACTGTGGCACACGAGGGGGTGGGTGGCCAGCACCACTCCCTTGCGGCAACGTCAACACAACCGCACCAGGTACTCATTTGAGGCTGAGTCGACCTAGGGGAAACCCACGACCAGATTTGAATCGTCGCTTGATGTTGGTGGCCGGGTTCGTAGCGCAGCCCGCGCCAACCGCTCCACCACCGCTACCCACTCCACACCCCAGGCACACTGAGACTCACGCACACCCGGACACACACGAAACTCGTGGCCGCATTTTAATATTGCAAATGTATTTTTAACCGGCGAGTCAATCAACTCACTGCACCACCGCTCCCCGCGTGATTGCGCATCCACCAAACACACGGCGCGTGACACGCTGGCATTGATAGGCGTTCACTAACACAGAGTGGGGGTATTGTTGGTGGTGGTGGTGGCGAGGCGTGTCGCGGGCTCGGAGCCACAACTTGAACCGCAGCATTCACGTAAAAGAATTGAAAAATATCCGTGCCCAAATTCCACCACCTGACACTCCTCGACTCGCAACAGTAATCACAACTTGAAACGCACAGTCCAAGAACAAAGCGTGACAAAGTCTGACCAGGTAAGGGCCCACTGAGCTATGATAGCTCAACCAAGTGGCTTATCATCACGTGGACATTCATAGCAGTAGACAAATACTCTAAGACGTATGATGTTGTGGAGGGAAAACCCCGGAGAACCAGGAGAAAAATCCACCGGACCACGAGGGGAGAGAGAGAGAGAGACACCACAAACTCCAAATACACAGCAGGCGTCAGGGTCGGCATCGAACCCACGACCTCCTGTGTACCAGGCGAGGTTGTCAACAACTCGCCACCACGGCGAACCCT